GTTGACCTCGCGAACTGGACCCTTCACGTGGCCAACCGATAGCTGTTCCACATAATCCTCCCTGCGCATAGTTAACGCACGGTCAGATGTACACGGTCGGAACCAACGGGGGTGGCGGCAGTAGCATACACTCCGACGGTCAAGTTAGCTTCTGGTGATCGGAACAGTGCCAAGGTTGTGCAAAAAGGGTGGGGAGGAGAATATATATTTGTTATGGAGAGCTAAGTTGTAAGAGTTTCATTATCTTTGCCTCTTGTCAAATATTGGGCATTTATAGTTGAGGAGAACCGTTAGATGGGACACGTGTATGCATCTGACGGTGTGAGGTGTCTGCTCATAGGTGTTAATCAGCCGCGTCTATAGAGTAGGCGGTTAATAACTTTTCCCGAGTTGAGTTGACATAAAGTTGATACGTCACATCAACTAGGCCCATGGAGATGTCAAATCAATTAAACCTTGGGGGCAGAAAAGATCTTGACACAGATCTCTTTCTGAAATTGACGGCGTATCCTCTGACAGAGATCCTCGGAGTTCATTGCGCTTCGGCGTCAGAGGCAAGAACGCTTCGGTTGGTTCTGTAGAATTGTTTGTGCCTCGCAGAGTGTTAGCAGCTCGCCAACATTAGTGGTGGAGTCACTTCGGAACCACTTCGGATGAGTGTTGGACACCTCGTATAACGTAGTGGCAGACTTTCCGAAGTGGTTCAGATAAGAGCGTAACAACCATATCACAAATTTTTGTTAGCTACAATTTGTTCAATGTCGTACTTATGTTTTTAACTTTTTTATAGCATTTTTATCTCTAATTTTTCATTAATTAACATTTATTCTCCTGGGTAATGGTTTCTTCCAAAAATTTCACTAGGACGTCTTGTAAATATTTATTTGCTCCTCATATTTTAAAATAAGAAAGAAATATACAAAATATTTGTCTTTCATTTCAAAGCAAGCTAACAAAATATTTGGGCATGGTAAGATATTCTAATTAATTGAAGGTTAACAGTAAAAATGAGATGAAAAATACTGAAGATATAAGTGTTTTAGTGAACAAATATTAAACTTTCATTGTAATTAAAATATAATAAAATGTACTTAAACTATAATGTCAATATAATTACTTAAAAATTAAAAGTGGGGTGTTGGGGGGTAAAAATAAATACCCACTAATATAAATTAAAAGAGAAAATAATTATTAAAAGTGAGAACGTATTGTATATGCGAAATCTATTACTCCTTCAAAAATAATAGAACAAAATCCCCAAAATTATGTATATCGTGCATTATTATGCATATTTAAATTAATCAGAAGGGTCTGTTGCATCATCTTAAAATATATTTATAGAAAGTTAAGATATTTTTATTCATGTCAATGACGTATTCTTTTCTAGTCTTATTCAACAACACAACATAATTTTGAGGGTGAGGTTAGGGTAGGATGGGGTGGGGTGACACCTTCAATTTTTTATTTTTTTTTATTTTATCTAGGGTTATTATTATTATTATGAAAAAAAAAATGCCCAAAGAAAGAGAATCATTACACTAACCAAATTTAGAAACAATAATAGAATTATGTAATGACGAGGAAGTAGATCTAGGTGCTAGTGCTTTGAGTCTTTCTTAGGCACACCGCTGGTTGTACTCCAATTGGAACCATTTGAAATGCACGCGTCGTGGTTACAAATATGTGATGTTATCCAAATAAGCACGATTAGTATGAGTATAGGTTTAAATGTCCCTTTTTAAATAGTATTTTTTTGTGATTTTTCTTTGATTTTGTAATTTTCTATAGCTCAGAGCAACAACCTCTAGATCTACTTCCTCGTCATCAAATAATTCTATTTATGTTTCCAGTAAGAAAGCTTGAAGCAACAACCATTTTGCAGCAACGATCAATGCTTGTAGTCTTGATGCTTTCAATTGCAATATTGTCCACTTTATATTTTTCTCCTTCTTCAGAGCTCTTGGTTGTCATCATTTGAGAAATTCTTTTGATTTCTTTGCTAGCTCCCATATTACTGCATACAACCCTAACACTATTATTGCAAAGGGGACATTTTCTAAAATAATGAATGAAGCGAATAATACAATAATGAATGAAGCGAATGGTTTTGACCTTTTTTTGCTCTCCGCTACGCCAAGCTCCCATTCGAGAAAATCACCTTGTCGTCCTTAAAAAAAATTGTTGTTGATTTATATCCTTAAGGATAAGTATGATAAAGAAGTTTTGGGTTTGATTTTGTTTTGTTTGTTGCTCGCTTCATATATATTGTTCAGAGACACGATATTATATAATTGTGATAAAACAAAAGAAATATACCAAGAAGTAGTGTCCTCAATATTTGCTCCTCGTAATAATGTCATGAGTGGGCTCACTTCCTTTTTAGTCTCAGGACAAGGATTCTCAATAAAGTCTTCATAGTAGCCACGTGATCATTAGAATCAAAGTCAAACACTTAGACGCAAGCGACAAATTCTCGATAATAGTTGTTGTTGATGATGATCAAAAAGGAAGTTAACTTGACACATGACATGTTTCCAATCATAGTCTCTAAATATCGTATCGACAATGACATCTTCAATCATTGAAAAACAGGATTAATAACGAGTAACGACGACTACCTACAAATAGTGATCTAGTGTTTGTAGTAAAAGAAAAGAAAAAATGCACTCGTGCTAAAATATAAGTAAATTGATTTATTAGTTATAACTAATGCAATATTATCTTGAATTAAAATGTTTAGTCGTGTCTACCAACACAAACTTAGCATAGATTTTGAACCTTTTAACCTATATTTGATCAAGAAAAAGATTTTTTTTAAACCAATAATTGACTCTTTATTAAATAGCTGGATAACTTATTGGTAATAATTATGGCAATTATTATAAATTAGGTGTTCATAGATAAGTAATGCTATATAGTCCTATCGATGCTAATCTTCTCATACTAACGTTGATACAATTGAAGTCACAAATCTCTTCAACGTCAACCAGACAATTGAATTTCATTGTTGGAAGAAAAAAGTGGAATTTTGATATTCATCGATTTAATTTACTCTTTAATATTTTTGATTAATTGAAAGAGAACTGAAAAATGCTGCGATGGAAGAACTCAAAATAATATCAAACTGAATTACACACATTCTTTTTGGATATAACAAGAAACCCTAATGGGTCATTTATTTATTTAGTGTTTGTTTGGTAGGAATTTTGGTAATTGATTTTTTTATCGTTAGAGATAAAGTGGACCCTAGAAGAATTCAAAAATAATGACTGGAATAGTGAAATAACGGTCAAAATTTGATTTTAATTGGCTTAAAATCTAAACCAAACAAGCTCTTATTTTTCCTTTCAAGATATTAATCTAAAATTCTCACCAACAACAACATTTTTCAACAAATTCTTGGAGATTGAATCACTCAATGCTGGACTCTGGAGGTCGACAATTCAATTCCAGCCCGCTTGCAGCGGCATTGTCGGTGGAGGAGGAAAATCCGTTGCTAGATTGTCATGAGGGCGGCTTTTGGCTCTCGACGGCGGGGTGGTGGTGGAGGAATCTCCATCTCAACCCTCTGGTTATGAATGCATCGGGAGTTCTATCGATTCCAATTGGTAAAAACTCCCCACAGTCGTCGACTGCATAGCTGCCAAGTGGTACAGCATGGTTTCACATACACGCCATGTACATCACGAGAATTATTGGTCTGTCCCTACCACCTCTTGGTTGAGCCGCCATGGAAATTAAACGAGAGAGCTAAATTTTTTGGAACTGAGAGTGAACGACTCTGGGTGAAAAGAAGGTCAGTTATAAATAAAATGTCACACTCAGCGTTTATCATAGTTGCCAATATTTTTATTGCCCTTGTCCATTAAGTGCTGCATCAGTCCTCAAATTTTCCATATTCGGCAATTCTACCCCTGCATTTTTTTCACAATTCTGTCCTTGATTTTTCTGTTTGTTGCAAATTGGTCCCTATATTTTTATTTTATTATTTTTGTGCAATGCCTATTTGTATTACGCCTGCTTACATTTTGGTCATGTCAGTTACTAACAAAGACTGCTAAAAATGTGAATATATAAAACAAAAAAATCAAGGATAGAATTCACAAAAATCAAGTTGTGACGTAAACTCCTTTGCTTTAAGATGACTATGTTTTCTTGTGAAACCTTAATGGAAGAATCCAAGTTGTCGAGGAATAACAGTGATTTTTATTTTGTCAAAGAATTAAGCTTGGCGTACAGAGTCATCTTACAGGCTTGTTACAGGGTATTTTAAAAGTCTCTTAATGGCCCACTTGTTGCCAATAAAAAAAAAAAAAAGGAAAAGGTTAATGGAGGGAAATGAGACGAAAC